ATAGTAGGATAGTAGGATAGTAGGATAGTAGGATAGTAGGATAGTAGGATAGTAGGATAGTAGGATAGTAGGATAGTAGGATAGTAGGATAGTAGAATAGTAGGATAGTAGGATAGTAGGATAGGATAGTGGGATAGTTGGATAGTAGGATAGTAGAGTAGAATAGTAGGATAGTAGGAATCACAACTAATAAGTCCTGGGATTTTCGTTATAAATGTTTTTCTTTAAATGATTCTGTTATGTTTGATATTGTTTTGTTTTGATGATGAGGACATCATCTAATGTCGAGATATATATTTACTGAATTTTCACTTATTTCTAATCTTATTTGATTCAACCTTCCACCAACCTTTTTTTGGCCTTGACATTCTTCTTTCTTTCTTTTTTATTTCAACTTCTGCAATTATTCCTAACTTTCTTATTTTGCCTGACTTACCAAGTAGTTTTTCTATTTCCTGTGTAACCCCCCCCCCCTTTTATTCCCCTGTATTGCCTGGTTATTTCTAATTATGAAATGATTAAAGGGAGTTTTCGCGAAAACTGACAGGAAGGGTGTATAAGCTAACGTCGAATCGAATTCGATTGTGATCGTTACTAATCTCAATTTTTTCTTTAATTTTTCGCGAAAACTCCCTTTAAAGGGTGTGTCCATACATTTTACAGGCTCTTGATGCCGTAATTAACGGATGAAAACCTCGTATTCACACTTTTATTACACACAATCTTTTAAAATCATATTTTACTCGACTTGTTTGCAAATATCATGAACACTCTCTTGAAATGATTTAATAAGAAAACCAATGGTTTGGTTGGAATGTAGATTTATTTATAAATTATTCCTATTTCGTTCACTCATTATATAATTAAATTGTACATACATGATTGTACATAGAATAGTACATATAGAGTTGAGTTCATACATTGTCAACAGTGTACACTGTAAATAAACCTAGTCTGGGCGCATTTATTTGATTTAAATCAATTGATATGCTTTTTAAGACGTGGTAAAAATCATGGCCCATTTTTTTTGGTTGAAATCTGGAAAAATATTATATCTGACTTTATCGAAGCTGAAAAAATGTAGTGGCGTTGGCACGTGAATGGATATAAAGTGATAAAATGTCTCAAATCTGACAAAGTTAAAAATCTCTCGAATATTTTACAAATTTAGTCAAAATCTGATCAGCGGCCTAGTTCTGACCATTTAAATGAAGAAATATGCCGTTGAACTATACAATTCACATTTATAGGAGGTTTACTGGATAATCCCGGTTTAAATGACTAAACCTTTTAATTGCACATTGATTAAAGTAAACAAAGATAAAGAAAGTTTTTCTATGGAATAAAAATAAGAATAAACACGAAGATAGGTTTCTTTAAAGCTGAACAATGATAGTTGGATGAATGTAAGAAAAAATGTTTTTGGTTTATTTTCAATCTGATGAAATTCTTTCTTTTTCACCCCGCAGATTTGGTACAACGGTACGTTTACATTTATTATTCAATAACTAGTTCTCTATGTTTACATAACAAATTTTACAAAAACAAACTAAGTATGCATATATCACTTTGTTGTCTAATGGGGGTATTGGATGAGATATTTCCGGAGAAAACTTGCTAAGCGGCATTTTCTTGAATGAGTTTGCCGCATTCTGAAAATCAGCAAATACGCGGTATTTTCGAAATGGCGCGCGCACCTGCAACTCGTCTTCTGGATTACAGATTCCAGACTTTCCACCAATTTTTGTGAGAGCAGATGGTTTAAAGTCAGCTGCACCCCTCTCAAAACAAGATAGATCACCCTCCCCCCTCTCGGATTCTAGCAGGGTGTACTCTCCCCACCCCCACTGTTCTCTTTTTTAAACTTTTCACACATTTTAAACTGTTTGTCACTGGATTTATAACAATGGCGCCCAGGCCATTGAAAAAATATTTGTTTTTTTAATATTTGACTAAACCATAAAGGCAGGTTTTTAAACATTAACTTTCAGAAAATTTAGAATTCTGTATTGAGCTGAGGCAGGCAGGAGATATGCCGAGGAATTGGCGGCACGGGAGGTTCGGTGGCGGCAAACCTCAACTCGCTCTCTCTTCATCTATCTATCCATTTCATGCTTTTCTTATAAAACATGCTCTCTACAGGGTGGAGGGTAGAAGAGAAGGAACCAGCTACAGGGCTGTTCAAGCTTATACTCACTTCACGATCAAGGAATAAAAATCACAGTTCGACCAGTCATAATTAAATAATGCACAGAGGGCGTCGCAAAATGAATTGTTCCTCCGCTGTACATGATGTACACAGAGCACTGTACAGTACCGTTGTACAACTACCAGGCCGTATCAAGGCCTGCACTGTGTCACTGAGGAGGAGGAGACTCTGATTTGGTGTGGTCCAGGGACCCGTTAGAGTCCGTGTTATTCTGAGATAACGGAGACGTGTTTTCTCCGGTTAGAGTCGGATCCTGGGGGATCAAACCTTCCTTCATCCTCTTCTTCTGCTTCATTCGTCGGTTCTGGAACCAGATCTTCACCTAGATAGATAGATAGATAGATAGATATATATATATAGATAGATATATAGATAGATAGATAGATAGATAGATAGATAGATAGATAGATAGATGGATAGATAGATGGATAGATATATAGATAGATAAATAGATAGATAGATAGAAAGATAGATAGAAAGATAGATAGATAATAGATCGATCGATTTTTATCTATGCAGGGTTACCCACAAAGGATGAGACTTCAGAAACGACTGTTTCTGCATATTAACGCTATTTTGCAACTGTGCTTAAACTGCTTTTGTTCTTTCCAAACTATTAAGTAAGCCATTAAATTTAATCTGGGGATCGTCATATTTGACGAATTTCAGGTCATCTTGAAACTCTCATCCTTTATGTGTAACCCTGTCTATACGTTATGCATAAATAGTTATAAAAATGTTGTGAACAAAAACGATTAAATTACGTGTTTATTTTTACCTGAGTTTCATTAAGTTGGAGCGCTGCCGCAATCTCTATTCTGCGCGCGCGCGTTAAATATTTGTTGAAATGGAATTCTTTCTCTAGCTCCGTCAGCTGTTTTGTACTGAAGTTTGTCCGCCCCGTGTTGTTAATTCCGCCAGCTCCTCCGCCAAAAAATCCTTCAGATTTTGGAGCTGAAATATAAGACAAATTAATTCTTTTTGTTGAATATAAAGGGCAAAGTAATTTAGAGATAGATTGATATTTTTTTGTTCATTAAAGTTACTTACACGTAACTGTAATGAACAAATTTTATTTGATCAAAATTTCGTGATTTCAATTTTTTTTAAATTGAATTTTAATGAAGGCAAGTTTTTTTAATACGTTGATTCATAAACCTACTATGGGGTCACGCGAGGTTCTACAAAAAAAATTTGGCCCGATCGGTTCAGTCGTTTTGACGTTTACTGGATACAAACATCACGACAGACAAGCAAAGTATATATATATAAATTGCAACTGGTATTGCTGTAGAGATAGATAGATACATTTCATTGCAATTGGACTAATTTGTTATGTTTTATCAAGTTCGAAACATTGAATTAAAAAACAATTTTGTACAGCTGACGACACGTGATGGATGGATACCTAAATATTGATGAATGAGTTGATGAAATAAACAATAGTTTATCGAAATTGATTAAGAATAGTTTCACTAACGATGATTTATTTTCAATAAAGGATTGTTTTTTAATTGAAACAAATACAAAGTGTGTTTTAATAAACAGAAACGTACACGTTAAATCCAAGTTTTACCAAATCTTGGAACAACCTGTATATAGCCATTCAAAGGTTTTTAAATAAAATAAATCATAATTGTTAAAATTTGAATCTCCGGATTCGGTCAAAATTTATTTTGGCACAATCGTTAGAAGACTGAAATAACGCAATATATGTATTGCAAAGAATCTGTTTATAGTTGAATATTTCAAAATTTAACTTATTTTATTTATATTTATGGATAAGTGACATCTTAGTAAAATTATTTAAAGTTCTTCCCCCCCATACTTTTTTCTACTTTTGGCATGTGCATTGTGCAGTGTGGACTGCTATACGTGGACTTTGAATGTATTTTCAAATTTTTTTTAATTAGCTGTAACATCAACTGTAATTTTTTGTGTGTTTACTGTGTGTTTGTCCTTTTGTATTGTGAGTTTGGTGTGTATTGTAAATTTGATGTGTTTTGTAAGTTTGGTATGTATTGTGAGTTGGTGTGTATTGTGAGTCTGGTGTGTATTGTGAGTTTGGTGTGTATTTTCAGTTTCGTGTGTATTGTAAATTTGATGTGTTTTGTAAGTTTGGTGTGTATTGTGAGTTTGGTGTGTTTTGTGATTTTGGTGTGTATTGTAAATATGATGTGTATTGTGAGTTTGGTGTGTATTGTAAATTTGGTGTGTATTGTGTGTTTGTCCGTATATAATGTGTGTGTGTGTGTCCACTGCACGCTATATCCGGAAGCCGAATAAGAAATGCACGAAACTTTGGTCGGGGAATTGGTGGGGAAATATATGTATGATGTACAGTGTTGCACGTTTTGATAACATTTCTTAAATAAATTACATTTTGGAATTTGGGAAAGGGGTATTTATTTTTTCTCCTTTACATGAAAAAAAAACACTTCAGTTTTCAATTCTGAAAAAAAATCGTTGTTCACAATATTTTTGATCCAATTTTGAAATTGGAAAATTGCTCAAATCATTTTTATTTCTCTAGATTTTAGATTTTAGATTTTAGATTTTAGATTTTTGATTTTAGATTCTAGATTCTAGATTCCAGATTCTAGATTCTAGATTCTAGATTCTAGATTTTAGATTTTAGATTCTAGATTCTAGATACTAGATTCTAGATTCTAGATACTAGATACTACACAGATTCTAGATTCTAGATTTTAGATACTAGATTCTACACAGATTCTAGATTCTAGATTTTAGATACTAGATTCTACA